GTAAGCTTATGCTCTCTCTCTCTCTCAAGACGCATTAAAGCTTTCCTGCAGAACAATCCTGTGTGATTCTTGCCGGCGAGAATATAGCGCGGGACACAAAACAAGTTCCAGGACAGCCAAAACTACATAGAGAAACCCTGACTCAATCCCCCTCTACCCCAATCTATATTTTACAAAACAGATCTAAAATAAATGGATGAATATACATACATATATATACATGCATTCATGCACACATATGTATAAATATACATACATACATACATACATACACACACACACACACACACACACACATATATATATATATATATATATGTTTTTCCAATGTTAAATCAAGATGAAGTAAATAATTTAAATGAACCCATAATGTCCAATGAGGAAGAAATAGCAATGAAAAATCCCCACATAAACCTTCCAAGGCCAGTTGAATTCAGTGCAGAATTATATCAGACCTTCAAAGAATTTATGTCAACACTCTTGAATTTACTAATAGAAATTAGTAGAAAAGGAAGTAACACTTTCACTATCTTTTACGAACATAGATGCAATTTTTCAATAAAGTATTCGCAGAATTAATTGAAGAACACAGCAAAAAAAGATTATTCACCATGATCAAGTTGTTTTCATCCCAGAGTTGATGAGACGATTTAACAAAGATAAATTAACAAACTTAACAAACGTAATTCACCACATAAATAGACTCAGGGACAGAAACCACATAATCATCCCATTAGATACAGAAAAAGGCCTTTGACAAAATGAAACATACCTAGGGAAGAACATATTTTAACATAACAGCAACATAAAGAAAATCTTCAGACAATGTCATGCTAAATAAAGAATTGCAAAACATTTCACTAAAAGTAGGAACAAGGCAAGAATGTTCAACTGTCCTTACTTTGTTTGTTTGGTTTGGTTTGGTTTGGTTTGATTTTTTTTGAGACAAGGTTTCTCTGTGCAGCTCTGAAGGCTGTCCTGGAACTAGCTCTTGTAGCCCAGCCTGGTCTCGAACTCACAGAGATCCACCTGCCTCTGCCTCCCAAGAGCTGGAATTAAAGGCATGTGTCACCACCGCCCAGCTATCTATCCTTATTTGTAATGGATATGGTTCGATACTTAAAATTCCTTAAAGTCACCATTAGAAAACTAATAAAGCTGATAAATCCTTTCAGCAAAGTAGCAAGATACAAAACACAAAAAAATCAGTAACTTTCCTATATACAAGTAACAAAGGTACTGAAAAGAAAATCAGAGAAAGAACCCCACTAATAATATTCTCAAAATACCATGAAGTCAATCTAACCAAGGAAGTGAAAGACATGTATGATTAAATCCCTAATATAACTCTAAGAAAAGAAATTGAAGGAGGTATCAGAAGATGGAAAGACATCTCTCATGTTCATGGATTGGTAGAATTACTATTGTGAAAATGGCCAGCCTGTCAAAAGCAATATCCATACTCAGTGCAATCCCCATCAAATTTCCAATGCAACCCTTCACAGGCATTGAAAGAATAATCATGAATTTCATTTTTAAAAGACCCAGTATACACAAAATAACCCTGATAAAAAACAAAAAAAGTAACAACAACATCTAAAAAATCTTCTGGAGGTATCACCACCTCATATTTCAAGTTATAATAAGCTCTAGTAATAAAAACAGGATGGTGTATGAACTCACAGAGACTGTGGCAGCAGGCACAGAGCCTATACAAGTCTAAGTCAAATATGGTCCTGGAGTTGAGAGAAGTCCCCATCGTTAACCCACAAGTATCCAACTGATCATTGTTCATAAATGAAAAATTAGTTTTCTCTAATGGAGCCTCACTGGATATACAAACCTCATTTAAGGGCAGGCCCCATGGACAGCAGCATATGGCCAACACAAAACAAACTTAAAGGTACTTTTTGAGTTTTTGTTTTTAACATGACATGTCTTTTGCTTGTATATCATCATTTCTATTGTTTCTGATTTTGTTTTTATCCCTTTTCTGTGTGTGTGTGTTTGTGTTTGTGTGTGTGTGTGTGTGTGTGTGTGTTTGTGTATGTGTGTGTGTGTGTTTGTGTGTGTGTGTGTGTCAGAGTCTGTACATGTTTCTTGCGCTTCTCCTTTGTTTTTTCTGTTTGGTTTTCTCTTTTGCCCTATTCTGGTTTGTTTGTTTTTATTTTATTTTGTAATTGTTGTCACTATTTTAGATGCCTATTTGTATTCTAATGATAGTGAGAAAGAAAGGGTAGAGATTTGGGTTAGTGAGTAAGTAGGAGGTATCTGGGAGGAGTTGGAGGAAGGGAAACCGAGAATATAATGTATCAAAAGGTATATTTTCAATAAGAACTAACAATTTTCACAATAAATATATTCTTTGCCTACTCAAAAAAGAACAGCATGGTGTTGGCTGGCATCAAAACAGTCACATTGATTAAAGGAATAGAACTGAGGACATATATGCTCCTACAGCCATCTGGATTTTGAGAAGGAAGTCAATATCACACTTTGGGGAAAAAAAGCACATAAGCACATTCATCAAGTGGTGCTGGTCAAACACTATAACTACATATAGAAGGATAGAACTTGATTTTCATTTCTTAAACTGTACAAAACTCAACTCCATATGCATCAAGAATCTTGACATAAGATCTGATACCTTGAATTTGACAGATAAAAAAGTAGGGAATACTTTTGATTCATAATCATAAGAAAGGACTTTCTGAGTAGGATTCCAGTAGTGAAGGCATCAAGACCAACAATTGATGAAAGGTACCTCATGAAGCTACTTATAGCAAAAGATGTAATTATTCTATAGAAGGGGCAGCGTAAAGAATGAGAAAAAGTCTTTTGAATCTATACATCTGACAAGGGGTTATTATCTTCATACAAAGAACTAAAAAATCTAGATATCAAGAAAACAAGCAACTTAATTAAAACATGAGTCATAAAGGGACTAGAAAGACAACACAACAGATAATAGTATTTGTTGATCTTGCAGAGGACCTGGGTTTCCAGGGGATCCAGGACTTCTATGGACACATTTGTGCAGTGCATACATATTTGTAGGCAAAACACCAATACACACAAAATCAAGTAATCTAAAAATGTATAAATATATGCATGTTTGTAACAATAATAAAGACAAAGAGGCTATCAACTTGGAAGTAAGTTAGGTGGTAGGGCCTGGAGGG